TTCCCTCTCTTGCTAAAAAGATAAAACTTGAAATCGGATTAGTATGAATACACAGTTGAGCGCTCAAATCAGGGATAGGGTACTTCATATGAACGTGAAATAGAATGTATCTACAAATGGATACATTCTATATCCCAGAAATTGGAGGGCGTGGCTGCTTCATTTGAACGTGGGGCATGTTGCATTTCTCGAGGAGCACTTCCACTTGAGACAACTACCTAACATTTCTGTCGTGTAAAAAAGGCACTTTACGTCATATCATGCAGTGACAGTTATTCTAAGACGGTTATATTCTGTCGGAAGCGTAACAAATTTTAATGAAGCACGCGCCCGCGCAACGCCCACCCTAGCTCCAGGATATAGAGTATTTCCACTCGAGATAACTGCCTAGCTGTCATGTTTTACCAAAACCTCACAAGCCTACCCGTTCAAATGAAATCCGCAGCCACTCCCACTGTATCTCTGGAAAATGAAATGTAGGCGGTTTATACAGACGTTTTTTGTGTCTCTATGAGTGACTTGGATTTATTCCAACTTTACCTTTCTGGTACTACCGAACACTTGTACTCCGAGTATGCTCTCGCGGATGCTCTCCCTTTGTGCTCATCTTTGTGGGAGAGCTGATGGGGTCTTATATCTCACGTATATACATATTGTATTGTCTGCTTCAGTTTTGAACTAATTAGCCCATTGCATGGTGACGAAGGTCTTTCGTCCAACCTTTTCATGAGGGGAAACAGGAGTGCTTCTCTCGTGGGAGTACGCTTTCTGGCCCATTCTAAGGGCTTGAATTTCGATTTGGGCTTCCTTATTACTCTCTGAGGTCCTTGGTCTCGGATTTATCTATTCGGACGCTAATAACATTTCGGAGGGGCATTTCAAGAAGTCCTTGTGTAAAACTGGAGATCACTGGCTTTGCCTAAGTAAATAACAGAGAGGCCCATGTAGACGCTTTTTTCCCGAACCAACGGATTCGCTATCACTCACTCCCGCACTCTCTCGCCTGAAGGTGACCTCACCACAGTTTCTGCACCAAGTAGTAACTTCTGAATATCGCTCCCACCAAGTTTCTGAGCCTCTTTATTTACTTGCTTATTTATTCTATTGCGCGTTTTTTTTTTTAAAAAATGACAAAGGCAGATAATGACTGCGCTATAGCTGTGCTAAAATGTTAGGTGGAACTCCTTGGATTAGAATGGAAGAACTGAGCATTGTAAAGGCAAAACCCATGTAGATGACACCAATACACCTGAGTGAGGCATTCACCAAATCTAACACCTTCAGAAATCTAAAATGCCTTCCAGGGCCTTCCATTGTTGTATTTCCTTTCAGTCTCATAACTCATAGGCACTCGCCTCCTGTGGTTCTGTGTTGGCATTAGCCATTGAAAGCTCTTGTTTATTGGCTTTTCTGGTTTAGGACTTCCCGGTCTCGCTTGTCCATTCGCAACATCTATTCCTCTAACCAACGAATCCTTCTTCCAAAACGCTCCTATTGTTGAAATTTTTCCGTTTATCCTATCACGTAATGATTCCTCCGATGGAATTTCGAACGCCTGTTGCAAGATGATTGATATGGCCTTCTTTATCGGTCGTCTTTGGTTCAGCACTTTTCCATGGCAAATCTCACTCATCAATAAAAAGATGAAAATTTAAGACAATTCAGGGTTGTATCAGGCAGGCCTCACAGCAGGGCCTCAGCAGGGCCTCAAATAGATGGCTTTCACATTCCCTACTGGCACTTCCTTGTCTTCGGCGCTGTTCAGGGGGAGGGAGGAGGTTGGCTTTCGCACATGCTGTTCGCTTTAGAATTAGGAGGCCTTTGCACTTCCCCTTGTTCCGCTAGTTCATATGAACCACCTGTTAACACTCGCGAAGCAATATTCGAAAAATGGCGTGTGCAGGGGATTTTGTGCCCCTGCGCCGCCAAGCCGAACTGCGCCCAATCTTCTTCTCAAGCAAAAAAAACTGATAAAGCTCGATATTTGAGTCTGGCTCAGCCACACCCACTATCCTGACCTGCAAGGGTTCAATGCTATTTCTGGCTTAATGGGCTATCATAAGTCATTGGCATAGTTGTCATTTGTGTTCCTAAAGGGGGCGTGGCCGCTGAGGTTTGGGCCTGTGATTACGAGCATATGGGTGCACCTCCCCATGCGACCCCATACGAAGGCAATGACCTCTCGCCTCCAAGCACATAGCTGCCTATAAACTTCTCTTTGTGGTTTTCCGCTTTTTGTTCAAACTTGTCGTCACATGCGTAATTGACTTTTCTTTTCTGCCCTGATTGTCACGAACTCCAGACGCATTGAGTCCGTGGTCCAGCTATGAATCACGATTTATTCTCCGTAGAACAATCTGAGACCCATAAGAACTGCTCGTGTGCCATGAGAGCTGTTTTCGTATGCAAAAACCCTAATTTTGCCCCTCCTCGTCTATCGTCGTTGTATCGCATGCAATTACCAAGTAAAAAACCTCAGCCTATTCAATAGACTTGCTGTCAATGCCGTCTACATGATCGCAGTTTTTCTTGTTCTGTAAGCGATCTTTGATTCATCATGTTTCCAGACTATCCAGTCCCCTTGGAATGGTTGCTATTCATTTACTGAGTATTCCTAGCGGACGTTGAGCGAACGTACTATGGAGCAAATACTCGCCGTGCTGTTCCTAGTAGCATCCGTACTCTCCGAAGGTGGGTTCTTTTCCTTGGTTTTTCATTGAGTCACATGCAGCTTTTGAGGTCTCTGATCTAGAATCTTGAGAATGTCAAGTTTCAGGTTTTATTTGAATTCCACTTTGTAAAACTTGAAAGGCCTGTTTTAATAATGCTAGAGATCAAAATATTCTCTAGGTTCTCAAGGTCCACTGCAAAGGACCCTCTTGGCTAGGTTTTTCACTTGAGAACAGTACTTTCTCGAATGCTCTATAATCATTGTCTGATGCAAGAATCAGCAATATCTTTCCCATTAGAATCAATCGCTCTGCCCATTTCTTTCCAGGGATAAAATCGTTCCCCTTGGAATGAATGGGAAGTGGATCGGAAGCAGGTCCCAACTAATTCGTGGTCGCCGAACCAACTGAATTGCTCAAAGGAAGGAATCGCTCAAAATGTTTGGAATAGGTTTCAAGCAAAAGGAACGAGGTTATGGGTGAAACTGGGGGGGACGCTATTCCGCAACATCCTGCATCTTGGTCTGCGTGATCTTAGCGGTGTGAGAAAGAGCTTTGAAGTGAAATACGAGGTGAGAAGTGGTGAGAACATCTATCCGCCAGAGCACTTCCCACTGTTGGGGAAGGCCTTTGCCAACAGTGGGAAGTGCTCTGGTGGAGCCCTCGGAATTTCCTCCTCTGTGCGCCCCACTCTCCCTCAATCTTCTCAATTTTTTCCAACGCCTACTTATTTTTCCGGAGTTCTCCATGATTTCCTCAGTTTTTTTCCCCAAGAAAAACTGCCGTCGACCGAGAGGTAAAGGCGACCCCCTCACTTACAGCGGCGAAATACAACCCCTCCTCTGAGGGTCCCAAACGTACGAGGTACTTTGTCGCAACAGCTGCTCTCTATTCATAGGGGAGAAGGCTCTGGAGTTGGCGACGGTACGTAGAGGTGGAAGAAGCGGTTCAGAGTGCTAAAATCCCCATCTTTTCCAAAAGCGGTGCAGCAGAAACGTTCAAAATCGCACATGGAATATTCTCGAAGAGCGGTTCTCTTTTTGGTTTCGCGAGTTCAACTCCTCCATGCGTAAGGTAACCTAAGCCTCGACGCTCATGCAATTGTGGTGAGGGCTCCAGCACTCACCTCACGTCACGAAGCCCCGTAGGGACCCATTCAGATTGGGACTGACATGGGGAGACTGACAACTGAGAACACCCTGGTGATGGATGTTGTCGGTCAGCTGATTCGGAATTTTTTTAACAAGAGTTATTCGGAAGCCCTATTCATGGAGTTCAATTTTTTTTCAATTCAGCGAAGTTAAATGGGATTCAGTGACGTTGACTAACCGCAGTCAAGGTTCTCCGTGATTCCCCTGTAGTAGACCCTGGCTTTTCCTTAGCTGCGCTGAGAAAAGGTTGTCATTAATGGTATGCGGTATTCCGGAATCAGGTACTGATGACAGGAGCGGTGGAGCGTGGGCTGGAGCAGCTGCGCTATTTACAGACGACGTGGGCTCAAAATATCGCTTTTCAAAACTGGAACAGTTCGATAACGAACCAAACGGGGTCCTCCGGGAGGTTACTTCGCGTGTGTATGACAACCTGGTGACGTTATATGGGTGTAGCTTCTCGCAGGCAGAAGTTGATCTGTTTAGTCTTGGGTCTCAGAACTTTCCCATCGACTTGCTGTCGAATAACATGCCTTGCCACTTACTCGAGTCAAGTGAAAGCTGTGACCCTGTCAACTCGAAATTTCATTTGTACTAGTCAAATCTGCGTTGTAACAATAGGGCAGCCACTCAGAAAGTGACAAGTAAATCGTCCATATAGACTCTAAAGTTCTAGCGTCTTTGAATCGCTACTCATTCAGGCGTTTTTCTGTTCCGAATTTGCGCGATTCATTTTCTCGTACATGAGTGGGCGTTGAAATTGCGAAAACTTTAGGAGTTATTACTGAAGATGTCTTGGAAAAAGGACAGCAGTCTGTTCAAGCTGAAGTTCGGGGAGTTACAGAGAGATCTGCGAACACTTTTATTAGGTGTATGACCTGGCCCAGCATCCCAAGATGAGCATACTGTTGTGATGATGAGCCTTGCCACAGTCTGGGGATCGAATCCGAAAATGGCTCCATTCAAGCCGATGGAACGTTTTATCTTTGCAGCTTGGTCATTACCAGACGGGCTGGAGGTGAAGGCATGACTTTCACAACGAATTACCTTTGGAAGTCATTGTATAGCCAAGTCCAAGTCGCATGCAAGAGTTTTGAGACCGAAAATGGAATACTGACGGCGAAGGGGTAGGAGCATCCCAAAGATACTTTGGTGAACGTCAGAATTTGATTTTCCACTTATGTTTCTTTCACGATTTGGAACTTCCGCAGCAAACGCAGACAGTATGAAAGGTGAATTTCGCAGTAATCAACTGAGATATCAGCGCCGTTCGTCTTGGGAGGGGGGGGAGGGAGCATTTCATACTACGGCTACTTCTGCTCGCTCACTGCATAACAAAAATTGACAAATAAATCTACAAATTTTGACTGGTATCACTTCGTGGACTCACAAGATTTCACAAATCTCTTGATGGCTCGATATGTCCACGAGAAGTAAACACCGCAAAACGTGCCCTACCCTCCTCCTCTCAAGCCGAACAGTGTCGGGAAAGCCTGTGATTATGAGACAACACTGGGGACCACCAAAAGTATAGCGTTTCGTTCTATCCGATAGCTAAAAAAGCTGTTAGTAGTTAGTAGTTTAGCACCAAGTCTTTCACAAGGCTTCCAAACCGCATTTTCTGCAAGCAATTTTTTCTTTGTAAGGAAATTTTTTGGTATATTGCTTTCGGTTCTCCTCAATGCCAATTTGTCTTCTCCTAAAGCGCGGCTCACCGTTTCTAAGGCCATCGACCATTCTCTTAATTTGAAAGCAACAAAATCCTGCAGCTTTTTGTCTGAGCAAATTGGCTCAAACTTGATAATGCGCTGCGTGTTCTGCCCACGGAATGCTCCTTTCGCTTCGTTTCACGAGTTCTCAAGAATTCATTGCAGTTGCTAAGGGGATCAGAAGCAGCCTTGCGACAAGTGCATACGTCCTTTTTCAGCAGATCGCACTTGATGAGTCTAAGGGGCACTACATATTAATGAAATGAGTTTGCACATGTGATGGGAGGGTTTGAGTAGCTAGACCTAAATTTAGGCTCGACAGAAAATAAGATTCGCTTTAACCCCGAAACGCTCCTTTTTCAGAAGTTTATGAACTTCGGATTTACGATGGCGCCAGTCGTGGGACAAGGCTGACGATGGGTGTCGAATTGCAACGCCGTTTCGAGACAATGAAAAACTGTTTCGGACAGCTGGAGACGGATGTCGACTGGATTGAGTACCAGTACGTGACTGGCAGTTTAGAAAATAGATCCTTCATGCATTTTTGTGAATGTTTTTCAGATCTTCTCGGAACGCTTTCTACACCGCAAGCGATCTGCCTGCAGTAAAGCCGGCGGGCGATATGACGGGAACACTCCATTTGTAGGGTTATTTAAGTCTGATTTATTACCTGGGGTGATGCTTAGTGACAATTTAGGCTTTGCACGGGTAATCGAATGCATTCACTCGATTTTCGAATTCATGTTACTCATCGAAATCATCATCCGCCCACATTCACCAAGCCTGAATATAACTTCTTCGTCCCAGTGACACTGACTGTCGGAGAGCAAGTCGGCAAGATGGAGGTACGTTGCCCTATAGGTAATGCTGGGTAAACCTAGCGCTATGTCGCAATTTCGGAAAAATTGGAGAAAAAGAAATTCGCGAGCTATTAATTTGTAAGGGGATGTCGTGTAGTGACAAAAGACGCGCTTACCATGCGCGCGATCTGGGGCTAAAGTCCTTTTCGGCTTTCGTCCGGGCCAACCAAACCTCTTTCCATCCAGGGACGATAGATTGGTACAGGATCGTCTGGGAGGATAAACACTGACTTGTATAATATATCGGCTGGTCCCTAGGCCTTGTCGCGTTCCCGCGGTTGTCTGTAATCCGCACAAGGGCGCTGTTTAGCGACGGGGGGCATTTTGTACTAACATTGCTTCCCTAGTTCCGGTTTACGAATCTCACCATGGTAAAACTTGTTTCTGCCTGCACGAAGCTGGAGTAAGATCGTCTAGCCACCATCCTAAAACGTGTCAACTCGAGAAAAGGCTACCTAGATGGGTCGGCACATCTATGAAAAGCCGAATGCCCCCCCCCCTCGACAAACTGCGCCGCTGTAAACTCTTATCACAATAGTT